CAGTTGTTAAGCAAATCCATGCGGGCTGTTAAACGAATCTTGAAATCGTAAAACGAATCAAGCTTTTCCCCCTATTGACTTTGCTTGCCAGAAGCTATCAGCGACGGTCACACATCGGGTACACGGGACTCTGCAAATGTCATAAGTGCAGGTCGACCATAATTGAGGCCAGAATTAAGATTGTCAGTCATTCCGGTTAAACAAGTGACGATGCCTGATTTTATGACATTTTTTTTGTGTGTGGGGGGTGTCATTAAACGAACATGGCATCTGTTCAGTGAACACATCAAGTGTATTCTTTTTACCCAAAGGGTGATTTTTTTGTTTGTGCGGGAAATACAGATAGTCCTCGACTTACAACAGTTCATTTAATGACCATTCTAAGTTACAATGGCACTGAAAAAAGTGACTTATAACCATTTTGCACACTTATGACCTTTGCAGCACGCTCCCCCGGTAACGTGATCTACATTGAGGTGCTTGCGACCACGATTAAGCCCAAAAACTATGTTGCTAAGTGAGAAATTTGTTAAGTGAGTTTTGCCGCATTTTATGACCTTCCTTGCCACAGTTCTTTAGTGAATACCTAAATTAGTTAAATTAGTCACGAAATTGTTAAGTGAACCTGAGATACAGGCAGTTCTCGACTTACAACAGTTCATTTAATGACCATTCTAAGTTACAATGGCACTGAAAAAAGTGACTTATAACCATTTTGCACACTTATGACCTTTGCAGCACGCTCCCCCGGTAACGTGATCTACATTGAGGTGCTTGCGACCACGATTAAGCCCAAAAACTATGTTGCTAAGTGAGAAATTTGTTAAGTGAGTTTTGCCGCATTTTATGACCTTCCTTGCCACAGTTCTTTAGTGAATACCTAAATTAGTTAAATTAGTCACGAAATTGTTAAGTGAACCTGAGATACAGGCAGTTCTCGACTTAAGGACCATAATTGAGTCTGGAATTCTACTTGTAAAGTGTACTGGTCGTTAAACCGGCCACCCCACAAGCCTGCCCGATTTCACAACCTATTTTGTTTTTTTGCCATGGGCGTAAAGTGACCATGACGCTAATTGAACATTGTGGTCGTTAAGCAAATCCATTGTCTGCAGTGGGAAGTAAATCCTCAACTGACAATCACAAACTGAGCCGAACAATTTTGGCTAAGGGAGGCAGTTAAGTGAATCACACCCCATTTTGCAATCTTTCTTACCACAGTTGTTAAGCCAATCTCTGCAGTTGTTAAGTGACTAACACAGTCATTAAGTGAATCTGTGTTTCCCCACTGACTTTGCTTGTCAGAAGGTGGAAAAATAGGATCACAGGACCTTGGGACACTGCAACAGTCATAAGTACATGCCAGTTCTAAGCATCATATTTATAACAATTACACTATCCCGGGGGGCTCATATGATCCCCCTTTGCAATCTCTGATAAGCAAAATTAGCAACTATGACAAGGAAGGTCACAAATGGTAATCGCATGACCCCTGGACACTGCAACCGTCATAAGTACAAGTCAGTGGCCAAGCGTCTGAATCTATCACATGACCACAAGAGACCCTGCAATGGTTGTGCGGAAAATGGTCATTTTTTTTCCAGTGCTGTTGTAACTTTGAACAGTCACTAAAGGAATAGTTGCAAGCTGAGGACTACCTGTAAATAATTACACTTAACAAATACATTGATAAATAAAAACTATTTTTTTTAAAAAAAATAATAAATTTTGTTCACCATGACTACGGGATGTTGCTGATACAAAAAATGTGATCAGGTGACCCTGAGGGGAGGAGTGCAGGGGGGGGGGAACCATCAGAAAACTGGGTCATAAATACCATATTTTTTTGGAGTATAAGACGCATCTTTGTTTTTGGATAGGAAAATTGGGGGGGAAATTCGGCCTACTAAGTATTCATCTTTATTCCCGTAACAGCAGAAAAGCAAGCAAATACAATAGTATAATAAAACAACACTTTTTGCCACTTTTTATCTTTCCCCAGGCAGCCAGGGAAACTCTTAATAAATTTAACTAAATGTCTTGGCATTCAGCCAAAAGCACTTTACATCTAGTAAAAATGTAACAAAGCTGAATCAACAAACCAGCCCAGCACTTGCCTGAAGGAAACCAGTGAGAAAACTCAGATAGCAGATAGGAAAAAACCCGTGCCTAGCCCAAGGGATTATCCCCAAAAGAATAGAAACTGGACAAAAGAAATACCTCTTAAGGCAGCCTTCAAATCTTTCCTCCTTAGCTTCTCCCAGCTGGAATGAACTGGGGAATTTTTCCAACAGTATGCTGCAGTAAAAATATTTGAAGTCTTTTTTCAGCCCTAATGAAAACCACTTCACTTGTTAGCACCTCATTAAGGCTTTGGGGTGGGGGTGGGGAAGTACATCTTACACTCCGAAAAATACGGTAGCCCTGGAGAGGTGCATTGTAATTTTGCATGACGTCCATAAGTCGAGGACTTCCTGTATTCCTGCTTGGCTAACGGACTTTGATGCAAAGCGTTTTCAGCACTGATTTTTGTCCTGTTTTGTTTTTTGCTTCCAGCTTCTCAGCCACGAAGTGGGCGAAGACGTCAGTGTACAAAACCTTTTGTCCAACCCGGGCAGCTGGCGAGGACGGGCTCAGCAGATCCTTGTCCTGCAAGGCAAAGTGAGTCCAAGCGTATTTCGCTTCACGGGTTCTGTGAACAGCTGGTTGGCTTAAACCAGGGTTTCTCCACCTCATCAGCTTCAAGCTGCCTCGCCTTCAACTCCCAGAATTTCTCAGGCAGCCTAGCTGGAACTGCAGCTGATTGACACGTGGTGCTCAGCCGTGGATGGGCTTTGTAGACTGCAGTGGCTGGCTTTGCTCGTGACACCACACAAAACCACAACATAAGAGGATGTGCGAACCATGCTGAAATTAAAATATGTAATATCTATTAGATATTTTAACCCGCCTTTATTGATTTCTAATTAATTCAAGGCAGCAAGAATATATCTAATAGTCCTTCCTTCTCCTATTTTTCCCACAACAAAGAAACAACAACCCTGTGAGGTTGGATTAGGAGAGAGGGACTGTCACCCAGTGGCTTTCATGCCTAAGGTAGGACTAGAACTCACCGTCTCCTAGTGATTGGCCCAAAGTCACCCAGCCAGCTTTCATACCTAATGCAGGACTATAACTCTCTCTCTCCTGGCAATTGGCCTAAAGTTACCCAGCCGACATTCATGCCTAGACAGGACTAGAACTCCCTGTCACCTTGTAATTGTCTTTAAGACACCCAACCAACTTTCATGCCTAAAGTGGAACTAGCACTCCCTGTCGCCTGGCGATTGGCCGAAAATTACCTAGTCGGCTTTCATGCTAAGGTGGGGCTAGAACTCAAGGCCTTCTGGTGATTGGCCTGTCACCAGCCAGCTTTCGTGCCTAAGGCAGGACTAGAACTCCCCGCCTCCTGGCGATTGTCAGGAAGGAATTTTTGCAAACCTTAGTAACTAGGATTGATGGATATCCCAATGCAGGTTTCCGTATCCTTTCACTTCCTCCTCCTGAAAAGGAATTTGTAGCCTGTCAATCAGTTTTAGGCCTTCTGTATCCCATTTACGTAGGTCCGGGAATTAGAAACCCAGCTGAATTGTCACAAAAGCAAATTATCCGAGAATGATGCCAACGAAGACCCGCTAAGCTTCAGCGACTCCAGGAAGTCCTCAGCCCAAGTCAAGAACCAGCTGCGGATTCGAACTTTGGAAAGGGAGAAGAAAGAAGCTTTGGATGTAAGGAATTCTTTCTGCATGAACCTAGCAAAGCTAATAATTCCAAAACACCTAACAAGTTCCCTGAGCTGTTGGTAGGTGCTCACCCATCCCTAGTGGGTAGAGAGAGTGGGTTCAGGTTTCCTAACCCTAACCCTAAATTTAGCCATAACTTTAACCCTAACTGTAGCCCTTATACCTTAACCTTTAACACTAACACTAACCATAATTCTAATCTAGGCCTAACCCCAATATCAACCATAACCCTTAACCCTAAACTTTAACCCTAACCCTAACCTTTAAACTAACCATAGCCTTAATCTTTAACCTTAGCCTTAACCTTCTCTAACTCTAACATACTCCTAATCTTTTGACTCTAACTCTTACCCCACCCCAACACTAACCATGATTTAAACTGAGCCCTAACCCTAATCCTAACCCTTAACCCTAATCTTTAACCCTAACCCTAACTTTGTATTGTATTGTATTTATTTGTCTTGTATGTCGCCCACTCCTGAAGGACTCCGGGCGGCTCACAATAGACAAGGGAAGGGGGAAAACTAGACAAAGACAACACTTTGAAAACAAAACCGCAACATTCACAATTTCCGCGGGGCTGGATGTTTCACAGGCCCCCCGGCCTGCTGGAGCAGCCAGGACTTGGTGGCTTTGCAGAAAGCCGGGAGGGTCGTAAGGGTCCGGATCTCGACAGGGAGATCATTCCAGAGGGCTGGAGCTGCAACAGAGAAGGCCCTCCCCCGGGGGGTCGCCAGCCGACATTGGCTGGCGGATGGAATCCGGAGGAGACCTAACCTGTGAGATCTGATCGGTCTATGGGAGGTAATCGGCAGGAGGTGATTTAACCTCAACCTAGCTGTAACCCTAACCCCAACACTAACACTAAACTTTAATGCTAACCCTAACCATATCCATAACCCTAATCCAACCCCAACCCTAACATTTATCCCTAATCTTTAACCCTAAGCCTAATTCTAACGTAACCCTAACCCAGAGGTAGGTTCCTACTGGTTCAGACCAGTTCAGCCGAGTAGGTAGTAACTCAGCCTGCCGTGCCCCCGAACCGGTTCTATTGTCGGCGGCGCCATCTTTATTTTTGGTTTCTGCGTAATGCAAAAAGTTTTGCGTGCCAAACCAGCAGTAATGCCGCTAGCCACCCACCGCTGCCTTAACCTGTGTGAAGGTGATTATTTCCTGGGGTTTACATTCCCGCGATGCAACCTTGAGACTCCTCTCTTCAACCATCTTTTGCGATGAAAACTGTTAGCAACTGATGGAAACTAGACAGGCAAAGGACTTGTGAGGATAAACTCCTTAGAATCTCTTCCTCCCAGGTGAATTCCCCCCCCCCCACTGAGTAGGATGGATGTTCTACCAAGGGTGGCTTTGTCCAAAGAGAAGTGCAGAGTTGAGAATCAGAGAGAGTGTTAAGAAAGTGGAATCAATCTTTCATCTAAGTTTGGATGGCGCTGCAGGCCATCACAAAAAAATAATTTTAATGTCCTTTGATCCACAGTCTTAAAGTCCCCCCCCCCCCCTCCTCCTCCTCCTCCTTTTTAAACATATTTTTATTGTTTACATATAAATATATTGAATAATTGTCCTGGCATTCCACGTGCCATGAAACAAAGGTAAAAACAAATAACATGTATCCTATTTTAAACAGTGCTAATACTGTACATTTATTTTTGACCGTCATGTGGTCAAAAGACCTCAGTTAGTGCAGTGGTTAGAGTTCAGTACTGCAGGCTACTTCAGCAGGCTGCTAGCTGCAGTTCAGCAGTTCATTTCTCACCGGCTCGAGGTTGACTCAGCCTTCCATCCTTCCGAGGTGGGTAAAATGAGGACCCAGCTTGTTGGGGGCAATGTGTTAATTCTGTAAACCACTTAGATAGGGTTGTAAAGCTCTGTGAAGTGGTATATAAGTCTAAGGACCATTGCTATTGCTATCATATTCTAGAATGTCAACTTATCTACCATTCTAATACCTACATTCTAATACATACATAATGTCTCTTTCTATGTCCACCTTACCTGATTCTTTCACATTCCAAATTCTACCTTGTGTTTGTAACCATTGATAGAATCTATCCCATGTAGAATCGAATTCTGTATCTCCTTTATCTTTTATTCTTAGTGTTAGCCTGTCCATTTCCGCACAGACTAATATCTTCCTTATTGCCTCCTTCACTCTTCCATTGCTGCACATACACAATTCTTATTGCGGTCAAGATGTGTAATATTAGGTACATTGTCCCTTTATCATAGCCATCTGATACAATGTGTCAGGGTTTCAAATAGCATCCAAAATTAAATCAGAGTCCAAGGCAAAGTATTTGCTCAAAGTTCCAATTTATTAAGAGAGCCATGTTGGCACAATTGGGAAAACCCAAATCTGAAAGCGTTCTGGTTTTTCCACCCAGTTGAAAGTTCAAGATCTTGCCCCCATAACCACATACCCCATGGTCCAATCCCCCACTACAATGCTGGCAGTTCCACCCATCCAGTTCCGGTCAGGTGCAGAGGTGCAAAGACAAAGGATGACCTTGTCTTTCTAGAAAGAAAGTGTTGTGGCCCAGCAGGAGCCGTTGGAGCTGCCACCAGACTCCGACAGCAAGAGGTCCTATGAGTCAGCTCTGGAGGATGTGGAGGACCCTGGACAGGGGTCCGACTCCAAGCAGGGCGCAGAGAGGCTGGTTGGCCACCAGAAGGCGCCTGAGCCTTGAGGTAGTGGGGAGGAGACAAGGGAGTGTGATCCTGATGTCATGCATTGGAGCAGTGGGGAGGAGACAAGGGAGTTAGTCCTGGATGCCCGGCAACGGAGGGCTAATAGGTGTAAAGAAAATGCATAGTAGACTAATAGAAAGTGTAGCAGGTCAAAGATCCCCCCCCAAAAAAAATGGCCGCAGGCCTGACATAATGCCTAATAAAAATAATTCTAGCTTAAACCCCATATGTTGCCTAATCGTTTTCTTCCCAACCCCATATGAATTTGTATCCAAAATTGCCTTGCCTTCATGCAGATCCACCACATGTGGAGGTAGGTGCCAGGTATTCGTTTACATTCCCAACAGCTCTTCTCTCTCTTGATGGCAGAAGCTCATGAACCAGTACCAAGTCCTTCAGAAGGACCACGAAGACGTGAAGAAGAAGCTGGAGGGGTCGAAAGCCAGGAACAAGGTCTTGTCCAACGAGGTGAAGACCCTGAAGGAGCAAATTTCCACTCTGATGGAGAAGGGGAAGCACGACAACGAGCTCGTGGACGCTCTCATGGTACATGTCAGATCTTCTGGTAATCATCCAGTCGTCTGTCGAAGTTTCCCTGGCAACCCCCTCTTCTTCCAGCAGGCATTCCTTAGAAGTCATAAATCTTGAAGCCTCCTCACGGAACTCCTTTCGTCGGGGCCCCAATTCCCTAATCTCTGCAGCTTCTATTAATTCCTTAATAGGCACCTCTTGACCCTCGGCCAAATTAATTGAGCCGTCAAAATTAGCTTTCTCGGCAGTATGTTTTTCTTCCTCCATCTTCACTGAATTTTCGTACTGCCCAGGGTTGGGTCAGAACCGGGATTCAGTACCCCCTGACAGCACCCCAGCTTGGGATGCTGATAACTTATCTTAGTGGAGAGTTGGAATTATGTTAGCGTTCCAAATACCATGTAGAATTAAATCAGGCAAAACTATGCTTAAAGTTCCAATTTAATAAGATAGGCATGTTGGCATCATTCTGTGGGATTCCAACTCTGGAAGTTACATCAGAATCCCACCCAGTTAAAAGTTCATGATCTTGTCCCCACACTCACACAGTCCATCACAGGGTCCAATCTTCTTTCACACTGGCGTCTACGCCTAACTTCTTCCGGTTAGGTGTGAAAGTGCGGAGACAAAGGATGACCTTGACTTCTAGCAAAGAATGAAAAACAATACATTCCAAAATCCTACTCCTTCTAATCCCCCCTCCCATTGACTACACATAAAGAAACAGCATAATGAAATAAGAGAAAGTGTGGCAGGCCAAAATTCTAAAAGGAATATAAATGCAGGCCTTGACGATCTGGTCGAGAGGCTCAGACCTGGCTGGTACAGGCAGTCCTGGACTTTACAACCGCAAATTGAGCCCCAAATCTAAATGAGAAGCTTGTTAAGTGAGCTTTTCCCATTTTACAACCTTTCTTGCCACAGTTGTTAAATGAATCACTGCAGTTGTTAGGTTAGTAGCCCGGTTGTAAGTGAATCTGGCTTCCCCATTGATTTTGTTTGTCAGAAGGTTAAAAATTGTGGAGAATGGGATGGCTTCCTCTAGAGCAGGGGTTTCCAACCTTGGCAACTTTAAACCTGGCGGACTTCAACTCCCAGAATTCCCTAGTCAGCTGGAATTCTGGGAGTTGAAGTTCTCCAGGCTTAAAGTTGCCAAGATTGGAGACCCCCGTTCTAGACAGCTGTTTGTCAACTTTAGCAATTTGGGATTTGTGGATTTCCAATACTCCGAATTCCCCACCGGCAGCCATGGACACCGACTCCCAGAATTCCCCAGCCAGTAGCCATGGACTTCAACTCCCATAATTCCCCAGCCAGTAGGCGTGGACTTCAACTTCCAGAATTCCACAGCTGGTAGCTATGGACTCCAACTCGCAGAATTCCCCAGTTGGCAGCCATGGAATCCAACTCGCAGAATTCCCCAGTTGGCAGCCATGGAATCCAACTCGCAGAATTCCCCAGCTTGCCTTCAGAATTTGGGAGCTTCATCACTGGAAGCTTTCAATAAGAGACTGGAATGCCGCCTGTCAGAAACAATGTAGGATCTCCTGTTTGGGCGGTAGGGTTGACTAGATGACCTACAAGTCCCTTCCAGCTCTGTTATTCTGTCTGTCTGACTTCACCTCCCAGAATTCCTCAGCCGCCATGCACATACTTCAAATCTCAGAGTCATTGAATAAATAAATAAAATTAATAAATAAAATTCCCAGAACTCCTTGGCTGGTATGTGTGAACTTCAACTCCCAGAAAGTCCCAACCAGCATACTGGCTGTGCAACTCTGGGACTTAAAAGTCCACGCATGCTGGATCTGAAACTGGGAGTCAAAGTCCATTTATGTTGGTTGAGGAATTCTGGGAGTTGAAGTCCATTCATGTTGGTGGAGGAATTCTGGGAACTGAAGTCCATTCACGTTGGTGGAGGAATTCTGGGAGCTGAAATCCATCCATGTTGGTGGAGGAATTCTGAATTCGGAGCTCGGGAGTACATTTTCACTGGCAGAGTGCTTGGGCCGCCACAGCTGCCCCCAACATGAGTGACGTCGAGCTGGCCACCCCCCCCCCACCGCCCCCTCGAGGTCAAACACAATCTTGATGCGGCCCTCAACAAAATCAAGTTCGACACCCCTGTTCTAATCCAAGCTCCTACTCATGGCAGGAGACTTTCTATCATCCTGGTCAAATGTTGTCCAACTTTTCATGAGATGCGGAAAGAAAAATAAGGCTCTCTCTGTCCCTCCCTTTCTCATCAGTGCCAGCAGAAAGAAATGCAAGGCATTTTAAAAAATCTGAGTCAGCAAGAAGACAGGAACCTGGAAGGCGAGAGGGCCCTGGCGAAGAAGCTGAACGTCGAGATCCAGAAGCAAAACTGCCTTATCGAGCAGCTCAAGCAGATGGTGGCCGAGCGAGAAGCTCAGGTGAAAGAGCTGGAAGAAGAAGTCAGGCAGCTGAGGTTGCAGGTAAGGCGTCCCAGAGGCGAGAAGCGAGGGTAGAGGCATGGAGAATGGCCTGGAAGGACAACAATCAGATAAGAGGGCTTCAAGCCCTGTGTAAGAAAACAGCTTGAGAAAAGGTCTCCTTGAATTCATCAAACGCTAATCAGGGGAAGACTCACTTTGAGAGCCAGTTTGGTGTGGTGGTTAAGAGGCTGGTCTAGAAACCAGGAGATGCTGAGTTCTAGTTCTGCCTTATGCATGAGAGCCGGCTGGGTGACTTTGGACCAATCACCAAGAAACAATGAATTCTAGTCCCATTTAGGCATGCAAGCCAGCTTGGGCCAATCACCAGGAGACAGGGAGTTCTAGTCTTGCCTTAGAAATGAAAACCAGCTGGGTGGCTTTGGGCCAATCACCAGGGGGCAGTGAGTTCTAGTCCTGCCTTAGGCATGAAAGACGGCTCGGTGTTTCAGATCCAATTACCAGGAGATCGTGAATTCTAGCTCCACCTTAGACATAAAAGCTAGCTGGGTGACTTTGGGCCAATCACTCTCTCTCAGCCTAGCCCACCTCACAAGGTTGTTGTTGTGGAGAAAATAGGAGGAGGGAAGAATATCATGTATATTTTAGTTATTTGTTAAATAATAAAGTTGGGATGATAACGTCTAATAAATCAATAAATAAAACGAAAACAGGGCATTCAAAATCTGTTACCTGATTTTTTTGTAGCAGCAAAACCTACCCCTCCAAGAGGAAGGTGGATTAGATTCAGGCTCTATTGTGTCTGCAGAGTCTTTAGAAGAGGAAAATCAGAATTTAGCATCCCAGAAGGAAGACTACAGCAGAAACGAAAGCTCCGCACGGTAGGGAAGGCGGCATCCTAAATCCCCAATTAAATTGAATTATTTTAAAAAAGAGTCTCCTTTAATTCTGATCCTCAATCATTATCTTGAGCCAGATTGGAAACCTTTGAATAGAGAAAAAAAAATTCTCGAACGGATTGCTAAGCAAGATGGTTGCTGAATGAGTTTTGCCCCATTTTATGACCCTTCCTTGCCACCTTCGTTAAGTGAATCGCTGCAATTGTTAAGTTAGCAACACGGCTCTTAGGCAAATCTGGCTTCCTCACTGACTTTGCTGGCCAGAAAGTTACAAGAGGGGATTGCGCGACCCCGGGACCGTCATAAATATGAGTCTGTTGCCGAGCATCCGAATTTTGATCACGTGACTACGGGGATGCAGCAACGGTTGTAAGTCTGAAAAACAGTCATAACTCCCTTTTTTCCCCCAGTGACGTTGTAAGTTCGAACGGTCACTAAATGAACTGCTGCAAGTCAATGGCTATCTGTGTCTATAATAATCTCAAACACCTCAAAGTGTTTGCTTAACGACTGCAGCATTCGCTTATCAACTGCCGTGTTTGCTTTGTGACCCTGTGCTCGTTTAACAACCGCAGCCAAAAAGGTAGCAAAACAGGACGCAGTCATATAACAATGCTCTTAAGTTATGGCTGTAAATTGCAGGCTCAATTATGGTCATAAGTCGTGGAGAATCTATATGCATAGTTTACTGCAGTGTTTCTCATCCTTAATAGCTTTAAGATGCATGGACTTCAACTCCCAGAATTCCTCAGGCAGGAAAGCCGGGAAAGAGAAGGCAAGGCTGACTGAGAATTCTGGGAGTTGAAGTCCATACGCCTTAAAGTTGTTAAGTTTGAGAAACAGTGCTTTACTCTGTTGGTTACAATCACCCAGGTGTGAAATGCTACGGGTTCGGACTGGTTCGCCTGAACCAGTAGTAAAAAATGCCACCGGTTTGCACGAACCAGTAGTAAAAAAAAAAAAATGCTACTGGTTCAGGTGAAACGGTAGCCAGCTGTGTGACAATCAAGTGTGCCGCATGATTTATAATTGCTAAAAAATCACGCAGCATCGCTGATTGTGGCACAGCTGATCGTTGGAACGTTTTTAAAAACCTTTTAAAGCATTTTTTTTTCCTATTACCAGTTTGGATGAATAGGTAGTAAAAAAAATGCTACAAAAAAGTTTTTTAAAAAGTTCCGATGATCCATGTGGCACAGCTGTTTGTTGCACAGCTGATCATCAGATCTTTTTTAAAACTTTTTTTTACCATTTTTTTTACTACGGGTTCGGGCAAATAGGTAGTAAAAAATGCTTTAAAAAGTTTAATAAAAGTTCCGACGATCAGCTGTGCGACAACCAGCTGTGCCACAAGATTTATATTTTCTAGAAAGCAGGAAATTTCTGCTTTCTAGCTATACTAAATCTCGTGGCACAGCTTTCCGTCCCCTTTCTCACTGTTCGGCTTACCTACTTATCTGCAGACTCAGAAAAGGCTTCTTAGGCGAAGGGAACTGGTGGCAGACTTCAGAGCATTTCACCCCTGCAATCGCCCCTTTTATTATGGGGTGCAAATAAGATGGATTAGAATTTGCAAACTACAATAATTGGACCCACCCAGCCCAGTCACCCTACATCTGGGCCTGCTACAGCCACCTGGCCTTCACCTGGATTGCATTCACCCTGACCCTCTCAGGTAGAGCACATCAAATTCAGGTGACCCCTTGCATCTTTGACCAGGCGGAAGTTCGGAATTTTTCAGCCCCAGAATTAGGGAACGGAAGGACGAAGGGGAAGCTTAAAGGTCATCTAGTCCAGGGTGTGATGGACTCCGCTTTGCTGGAGGTGTTTAAACAAACGTTGAAATGGTGGGTTCCTCTGCTGAATAACAGAGCTGGAAGGGGCCTTGGAGGTCTTCTAGTCCAACCCCCTGCCCTGGCAGGAAACCCTATTCCATTCCAGACAAGCGGCTGTCCAATCTCTTTTTAAAAACCTCCAGTGGTGGAGCACCTACAACCTCTGAAGGCAAACTGTTCTGCTGGTTAAGGATATTTATCCTTAGTTCTAGGTTGCTTCTCTCCCTGATTGATTTGGGATTAGAGAATACCAGAATAACAAGAGCTGGAAAGGACCTTGGAGGTCTTCTAGTCCAACCCACTGCTCAAGCAGGAAGCCCTACAGCAGTGATGACTAGCCTTTTCCCCACCGTGTGTCAAAAGCCGGGGGAGCGCAGAGGTCATGCGTGCATGTGCCCACACTTATAATTCTATGCACCCGCCCCCCACGCATGCATGTGCAAGCCCCCTCCCCTGCGCTCCCCCTGCTTTTGGCATGTGATGACACGGTGGACCCATTTTTCACCCTTCCCAGGCTCCAGACCCTTTCCAGGAGCCTGGGGAGGGCGAAAAATGCCTTTCCCGCCCCCAGAGGCTCTCTAGTCTAGTGGCTGAAAACAGCCCGTTTGCCGACTTCCGGTCGGACCGGAAGGCCTGTTTTTCGCTCTTCCCAGGCTCCAGAGCCTTTTCAGGAGCCTGGGGAGGGTGAAAACGGCCTTCCGTATCCCCACAGAGCCCAAAAAACAGCCTGTTTCCCGACTTCTGGTGGGCCCAGAAAGCCTAAAAGTCATCTGGCCGGCACGCACATGTGCCCGGAGCTGAGCTTCGGCATCATGGCCCTATAGCATTCCAGATAAACGACTGTCTGGTTTCTTCTTAAAAACCTCCAGTGATGGAGCCACCAAAACTTCCAGAGGCATTCTACTGGTTAATTGTTGTCACCATCAAGAAATTTCTCCTTGATTCGAAGCTGGATCTCTCCTGGATTAGTCTCCGTCCACTGCTGGCTCGAGTTGGGCTAGATGATCTCTAAGACTGCCCCTTTCCCCCCTTTCATTCTTGGATGCTTCAAAAGGCTGCGTCCTTTGCAAACTAGGATTCTGCCGGGCGTGCTTCTGCTCCTACCCTCGCCAGCAGGAGCCCCGGCAGAGGTTGCAAGACGTTTAGATGCAGAAGTGAAAAATGTGACAGATGTTTTGTGTGTTCCAGGACAGTGTCGAACATGGGACACACCCTTGTGGACTCCGCAGCGACGTCATTTCCAGCAACTCCTGCGAGGTTGGTGCAAAATTTACTTCTTTGATGGCAATGCCCGGGATTTTTTTCCCTCTCTTCCAGGGAAGCCTGTGGGTGGCCTTAACTTATTTATTTATCCAATAAACCTTTTGAAGGGGTTAGGATGAAAGTTCAAAAGAGACCATTAGAAAACTAGGAAAGGAACAAAAAAAAAGCCTCATTGCTAGCAATTAACCCCCAGAGAAGCAGCAGGGCAAGGTTTAACACCAGATCCACAGCTTCCAATCAGCAAAGTCAATGGGTAAAATCTAGGTTCCCTTAACGACCGTGCGATTTTCATCATAAGCCGAGGACTGCCTCTGTGGATAAAACACTGGTTTGCCTTTTGATCTTCCTTGGGGTTCTTGAAAAGTTAAGCAGGGTCAGATCTGGTTCTTTCTTGGAGGGGAGATCTGGAAAGCCCAAGGCTGTGGTCACTCAGACAGAAGAATTGAAGAAATTCTGCCACACGTTAAAAGTGCACATTATTTCCATGCGCGTGCACCCATCCACCCACACACGCATGTGTGCGTATATGTGTTGTTGCACTCAATGGTAGTTGTAAGTCAAGGACTACACACACGCATGCAGATACACACACACATGTTTTTCTGTCTGTATCTGTGTAGTTCTCGACTTACGACCACAACTTAACCCAACATTTTTGTTGCTAAGCTAGACAGTTAAGTGATCTTTGCCCAATTTTGCAATTTTCCTTGCCATAACTGGTAAGTGAATCCCTGCAGTTGTTAAGTTAGTCACATAGTTCGTGAAGCGAATCCGGCTTCCCCGTTGACTTTGCTCCATCACTAGGTTGCAAAAGGGGATCATGTGACCCCCCAGGACACTGCAACCGTCATAAATACGAGTCAGTTGCCAAGCGTCTGAATTTTGATCACAGGATCCTTGATATACTGCAATGGACATTAAAAAATTTTTTCATGGTTCTAGGTCCCTTTTTTCAGTGCCGTTGAAACTTCTAAACGAATGGTTGTAAGTCAAGGACTACCTGTGGATGTCCTTCCTCTTAATACATATAGTCCTCAATTTACAACAGTCCATTTAGCGATGGTTTGAAGTTACAACAGCACTGAAAGCAGTGACTTATGACCGTTTTTTCACATTTATATTTGATTTAGATTCTGATACTTGGCAACTGACTCACATTTATGACGGTTGCAATGTCCCAGGGTCCCCTTTTACGACCTTCCGGCCAGCAAAGTCAACGGAGGAGGCCAGATTCGCTTAACAACCGTGTTACTAGCTTAACAACTGCAGTGATTCAGTTAACAAATGTGACAAGAAAAGTCGTAAAATGGGACAAAACTCACTTAACAAGTTTCTTACTTAGCAACATAAACGTTGAGCTCCACTGCGATCGTAAATTGAGGACTAACTGTATCATCTGGAAAACTGACATCAGAAGGTGGCCTGGGGCATCCCATAAATATCTGGCTGGACTTTGCTGCATGGATCACCAATGCCATAAAATGGGCTTTCGGCCTTAATTATTTCGGCCAAAATCCGTTTTATTTCTGGACAGCCAAACCGAGCCAATCTTCTCTCCCTTTTAGGGCATCAGAGCAGGACGAGGTTGGTTTCAGGACCCTTCAGTCGCAGATCACCAAATACAAAACTCTGTGTCAAGCATCAGAAGTGGAGCGTGACCGTTTGATAGAGCTGGTTAGCATCCTACAGAAAAGGTAGGATGGTCGCCAGTGTTGTGGCCCACCAGATTCGGACTGTGAGGAGGTTGGGGAGGAAGATGGGCCAGTCCTGGAGTCTGGGGAAGGCTCGGATGTGGGCTCTGTGTCGGAGGCAGAGAGGGGGCCAAGGCCGTCCGACAGTTATCAGCTGCCTTCAGAGTCAGACATCATTGAGGCAGAAGAACAGCTGGAGCCTGTTCCCAGTGTGCTCATGTGCAGAGTTGCCAGGCAAAGGGAACAGCTAAGGAACAGGGGCCGACTTGGGATTAAGGCCACAGGTGGACGATGGATGGCCCCTCCCAGAGGAAATCAAAGAGGAGCGAAAGGGGAGTGGAGTTTGCAGGAAACAATTAGTTCACTTTAATTGGTTCATGATTCTCTGAGACTCCTTGCCAAGTTTTGCAGAGATCGGCCTGGCAGCTCTCCAACCCAGATAAGGTCTGTGACTGTAAATCCTCCCTTGAAAGCCTTTGCTGGATGTGAATGAGCAGAATTCGCAGTCAATTAATAAAAGGGGTTTTTATCGGGACAAGGAGTTTGCTTCAGGCTCTCGGGAAGCCTCGGTCAGAACAGCCAGGCGCAAAATTGCCTGGATTTCTTTTTCTTTTTTTTTTTGGAAACTCAGAGTCCCTTTGTCCCAAGCCACTCAGATGTTGAGATTCTGGAAAGAGTGCAGAGAAGAGCAACAAAAACGATTAGGGGACGGGAGGATAAAACATACAATGAACAGTTGCTGGAATTGGGTATGTCTAGTTGGATGAAAAGGTCCAGGGGTGACATGATAGCATAGCTGAGGGGCTTCCACAAAGAAGAGGGGTGGGGGGCAACCTATTCTCCAAAGCACCTGAGGCAGGAGAAGAAGAAGGAGAATGGAAACCTATCAGAAATAGGAGCCACCCGTGTGCTGCAGCAGCCAAAAAAGCCAACACAATCCTAGGCTGCATTAACGGAGGGATAGAATCAAGATCATGTGGAGTGTTGAAGCCACCTTATAATGCTTTGGGTAAGACCACATTTGAAATATCGCACCCAGTTTTGGTTGCCGTGGTATAAAAAAATATCCCAGTGTCAACCCAACCCTACCTCTTGGATTTCTTAGTGGTCTCCCATTCACCTACGCCCAGAGCCAGATTCTGCATCTTCGGGGAAAACATTGGCAATTCTGTCTCAGCTGTTGAGTTGTGGCCATTTATGGGGTTACCGGGGTGTTCGCCTTTCTGACAATGCGCACGTGTGGTGTTTGTGTCTCCAGGGTGGACGAAAGCATCACGAAAGTTTGGGAAACGGAGAAGAAATTTCAGGAACAACAATACAAGTACGTCGCTCTTGAGCAGCAGTTCGCAAAGTTGAAGATGGAATCCGGGAAGGCGGCGGTGGCCCCCAAGGCTCACCCCAAAACCAAAGCAGGTAAAGTTGTTGAAAGCATGTTGAAAAGTGACACTTCATAGCAGCCCTGCGCAAACTTGACTGGTGAAACTTCCACACAGCCAGGCAGAATTTCTGCCCCCCAATGGCTGACAAGGGGAGGCTGTGGGGGAGAGTCCCAAAATAAGGCAAGAGGGTGGTCACAACTGCAAAAAAACCCACCCTTTTGAATGAAAATGTAGTGCTTGACTTATGACCTACCACTTAACAACTGTTCAAAGTTGCTGTTGTGGCATGGCAGCGGCCAGCAGAGCTGGCAGTGGAGTCAGAGAGTGAGGAGGTTTGGGAGGAACATGGAAAACTCAGACGAGGGCTCTGCGTCAGAGGCAGAGAGAGGGAGCTAGACAGCAGTGAGGCAGAGGAACAGCTGGAGCCTGTTCCCAGTGTGCGCATGCGCAGAGCTGCCAGGAGACAGAACAACTCAGAAAGCAGGGTCGACTTGGGAGTAAAGCCACACCTTGGAGGTGATTTGGCCCTTCCCGTAGGAAACAAAAGAAGAGCGAATGGGGAGGGGGGCTTTTGCAGGAAACAATTCGTTCCTTCGGTCGTTTCAAGAGTGGAAAGTTCTGTTTGTGACTATAAGAGACTCCCTGCCAAGTGTTGCTTTGCCTTTGGAAACTAGTTATCGCAAAGCAGCTCGCCAAGCAAGATAAGGTTCGTGTTGATAAATATTCCTCTGAAAGACTGTTTGCCAAGCCTTGCTGACTGTGAATGAAAGGAATCCATAGTCGTGTAAATAAAAGGGGTTTTGCCAGGACCAAGACTCTGCTTCTTGCTTTTTAAGGAAGCCTGGGTCAGAACAGTTACGATGAACTTCTCCAGAAGAACTTGTGAATCGGTTTCAAAGTTCCCGTGCTCCCTCCCCTCCCGCCACCACCTTTCATTGGTTCCACCACAAAACCGCGCTCGACTAAAGCGCGCTCGACGAAACTGCGTAGCTGACGTCATCACAGCGCAACAACAGCGCGGAGAAAAAAGCACACTGTACACGCTAAAGCTAAAATTAACCCCTAAACCTAACCCCCTAAACCTAATCCTAAACCTAACCTTAAACCTAACCCTTAACCTAACCCTAAACCTAACCCTAAACCTAACCCTTAACCTAACGCTAAACCTAATCCTAACCCTTAACCTAACCCTAAACCTAACCCTAACCCTTAACCTAACCCTAAACCTAACCCTAACCCTTAACCTAACCCTAAACCTAACCCTTACCTTAACTTGAATCGGCTTGCTTTCAAAGCGCTATTTAAAGCGCCCTTTTTTCTCCGCGTCGCTGTTGTCGCCCTGCTGATGATGTCAGCGACGCGGTTTAATCGGCCGCGCTTTAGTGGAGCGCGGTTTTGTCGTGCCATGCCTTTCATTGACCACCATTTGCAATGTCCTGTGACTGCGATTTTGGGCTGTTTTACCTCCCAAAATTGGTTTTGGTTTCCAGGCAAAAACCTCCATTGGGTGTAATGGGTTCACTTAATGACCATTGCGAAAACTGCCTCCCCTGGGCTCCAGAGGCCCTCCCAGAAGTTCCAAGAGGCCCATTTCCCCCCTTCCCTGAACCTCCGCATGGGCCCTGCATTTAATTCGCATCCAAAACGGGCTGGGTAGAGACTCCTGGAAGAGGCGAGGGACCCCCAAGGGTGGGATTTGGTGGTTCTCTGAACCGGCCATAACATTAGCTACGGATTCTTCCGAACACGGGAAAACCCGTAGCAGCCCACCCCTGGTCAAGGGTTACGTGTACACTGCTATTTTTCAATCTTGGCGACTTTAGGATGCGTGGATTTCAACGCCCATAATTCCCCAGCCAGCCATGCCATCTCTTCCTGCTTCTCAACTGAAAATACGAATTGCGATATTTTTCAGGAAACTTTAGAATTTGGTGGGTGTGTGGCCAGCCTTCAGAATCCCTGTTTAACGACACATCTTCTCTCAACAGCTCCGCCACTCAGCAGCGCCAAAATGAGCTGGAACGCCGGGGATAAGAAAGATCTGCCATCCGTCCAATTTTCCGAAGTGCCTCTGGAGTCTCAGTTAGAGGAACTCTCCACACAGTGAGATGTTTAACATATTTTTTTACCATTTTATTTTTAAAACCTCAAAGCTCTAAGTTAGTTTTAAGAAGGAATACAGGAAAGTGAAGGAACAATTTCTGCTAATACAGATAGTCCTCAACTTACTACCACAATTGAGCCCAAAATTTCTGTTGCTATGCAAGACAATGAGTTTTGTCCCATTTTACAATCTTTCTTGCCATGGTTGTTAAGTGAATCACTACAGTTGTTCAGTTAGCAACATGGTTGTTAAGTGAATCTGGCTTCTCTGTTGAGTTTGCTTGGCAGATGACCTCGGGACGCCGCAACCGTCATAAATATGAGTCAGTTCCCAAGCATCCAAGTTTTGATCACATGACCATAAAGATGTTGCAATGGTCATAAGTTTGAAAATTTGTATTGTCACTTTTTCAGTGCCATTGTAACTTTGAATGGTCACTAAACGTATAGTTGTAACTCGAGGACTGCCTGCACATGTGATCCTCACCTTATGACTGTGATTATAAGTCTTAATTATAATTATGAGCCCAGAATTATAATCATATGTCCTGACGGTCATTAAGCAAGATAAGACGTGACTGCTCATGATTTTACAACCTTCTTTGTGGCAGGGATTGCACAGCCAGTGTTCAAATGGAGTTAGAGACGCTGACAGAAAACGGATAGTTTTATATAAATAAATATATTTTATAACCTAGATTGTCAGGCAAAGAGGAGCGTACTCAGGTAATTCAATACAGGATACAGGAACATCCTGAGGTAAATCAACACATGAGCATCATGATCAGGGGTGGGATTCAGCCAGTTCGGACTGGTTCGGGCGAACCAGTAGCTCCGACGATCAGGTAGGCCCACCTACCTGCCTTTTACTTATCTATATCCTCTCAGCTGATTCATGCGCCTCAGCTAAGTTACTGCCCAGAAGTAAAGTGGAAGGTAAGTTTTGTTAAAACTGCGCATGCACAATCTCCGAACCGGCTGTTAAAATAGCAGGATCCTACCATTGATCATGAGGTAAATCAACACAGCAGGAACATCCTGAGGTAAATTACAGTCTACATAGAGCACACAGATGAAAAAAGGCGGGAAACAAGGACACTCCTACTTTTCACTCATAGCAACCAATCACACCTCAGGTTTCCTCATGCCGTGGCCAGCTCTCTTCAGCTAATCAACCACAACTCTGTGTTCAGGCTCACTGCTCAAACCTTCACTGCTCTAGCTATTAAATATCTTTAACCCATAACTTCGAACAGTCTCTAAGTGAGGACCACCTGCATTTTTGGTCAGCTATCAAAATCCATTTATTTCTTCTAGTTATTTGTTTATAACTTTTATTGGCTGCCCATCTTAACCTTGAGGTAACTCTGAGCAGCTTAAAATCATAAAAATGCGCCGACCGTTTTTTTCTGCGCAGGCTGGCGATCCAGATGGACGAGATCGAAGGCCTGAAGAGCGCTTTGCAAGAATCCATCCGGACCAAAGAGGAAGACTTCCGGGTGTACCAGGACACCGTGGGGCAGGTGAAGGAGATCTTCCTGCACGCTCTGAAGCAGCACACGCAGGAGAAGAACTGAGCCGATCCCAGTGGTGGGAGGGGGTTATTCCCGCTGTCCAGAAGTGGTCCCTCCGAGGTGACTCTCGTTTAAATACTTGCAGGAGGGCGCAGAAGATACAGTAGACGCTGGTCCTGTAGAAGATGCGGGTGGTGCCCAGCTAGAGGGACCCAGGGGCCAGCTCCTCTCGTCCATAATGATGTATTCATAGCCATATACACCGGATCGGTAATCTGGCACTCGTTCTGAACGAGTCCAGAATCCGTAAGTGGGAAGGATTTGCTTGAGTAGAAACCAACTTTGGATCAACTTTGACATCCCTTGCCAAACAAAAACCTGTTTAAAAACTTTTCCAGTGTAAATACAGACCCCGGCAAGACCCGGATTAAGGATAATGTCTTGTTTATTTTCTCGAAAGACACGATGCGCTTCTGCGTTGCTCACACACTTGTGAATTGCAGGGAAGGCGGTTTTTCCTGGATCGTGCATTTACATCTGTGTCTGTATACTTCCCGCGCCTGCTTTCATCTCTGCCCAAACTTGCTTCGCCATCAGTTAATTCCCTTACGGTCTTCGGATGTTTTCTCCTTGTTGAGTTGCTGAGGGAGGGCTCAGATTAAATTAGATAATATATTGATCCGAAAGGAATTCAGCTTGAGTTGAAGAAGATGTGGCACCCTGTAGCCATGAAAAGAAAAGTAGGCAAAAAAGATAGATAGATGAGACATACAGAGAGCGAGTTGGATGGATAAAGGCAGAGGGATACCAGAGATGATAGATAGGTGATAGATGATAGATAGATAGATAGATAGATGATAGATAGATAGATAGATAGATAGATAGATGATAGATAGATAGATAGATAGATAGATAGATAGATA